ATATATATATATATATATATATATATATATATAGTAAAAAATTATTGAACAGAATGCTACAGAAGAAGGTAAATAAGGAAAAATGTCAAGTGTAATTTTGAGCAGTCAAATATTGTTCTTTTGATGCAGTTCAGAGATAATTTAAAAAATTTATGTAGTAATTTCGCTTTACTTTTACTTGTTTTGCGGTAAATTTGGTTACCCTTATTTTTAATTGATTGGTTAACTTACTTTTTTGTTTTGTATAGTAAATGTGAGTTTTGGTTTTTTTAAGAACTTTTTTTTTTGTGAGAAATGTGAAGTATTATTTTCTTTGAGGACCAATAAAGTGATAAATAATATGAATGAGAAAAGCTTTTGAAATTGCCGTTGTCTAATTATTCCTTAAACCTAATAGTGAACTAATACGATGAAAACCCTTTAAATTACAAAATTGCTGTGGTGTCTTCTAAAGTGATCAAAAAACAATCAATTTTTTCTTCAACTGTTGGTGCTTTATTTTTTAAAGTAACGGTGTTTGGAATGTAGACAAAAGTAATCTGTTTTTTTTTTCTTTCAACAGATGAAACGAACTTTGGTAACAGTTGATTTTGAAGAACATAAAAATTGATATAATTATATTGCTGAAGAGTTTTACAAATGCCAAATACTCATAACAGAAAAAGGTTGATATTTGCAGTTCTCTTACTGCACTTTCTTTATTTATGGATGTTTTGAACTCCAGTATTTATATCGTATTAAAACAAAGAAAAGAAAAAACTGTAGAAATAATGAGGATATAATTAGCCGGAAAGCTTTCCAAATGACAAAATGTATTTTTATAACTGATCTCTTTTTAGCATCTGCAATACCGATTTCAATACCTGGAAAGCAAAAAAAAAAAAAAAGTTGAAAAAGAATGAGGAAAAAACTACTGCTTTTTGCAAACATTCAAAAGTGAATGCATAAAAAATAATACTTTTGAATGAATTTCAAAATTGAAAAAGCAAAAAAAAAAAAGAAAAAAAAAAAGAGAAAAAAAGAAAAAATGAGAAAAAAGTAGAATATTTCTCTCCTATTTTCTGTTTGCTTTTCCTTTTTTTGTTCCTTTCTTTCTTCGTCTTTTAATGTCTGTAAGTTTTTGAAGATTTCAAATGATGAAAATTTTCTGTTTTCAAAAGCAATAAAATTGGGAAACTTTAAAAAAAGGAGGGAACAATGGAAGCTGAAAAAAGAAGCATTATTATTTGTAGCCGTCAGCAGTTGCATTTCAACAGATTCTAAGCAACAAATGTATCGCTGCAAACACGCGGCGGTTTTTTTCTTTGCAGCTAATTTTAGAAATTTTTGAAAACAAAACTTATCACTGTACTATTTCTTTTTCTTTTAGCTGTTGCTTAAATAACTCAGTAATTTTAAATAGAATTTGAAGATTCAAATTTGCATCAGGTCTGTTGAAACATAGTTGCATAAATTGCATACATAAGTACTGAACAAATAAACACACGCAAACATATGTTGAAATCATAGCGAAAATGTTGTTCTGATTTTGTACAGTTGTTTAAAGGCGATAAATTTATAATTTCCTAATTATTATTAATGATTAAAAAAAAATAATAAAACTATTTGTTTTTTATTTTAGGGTCAAAAAAAGAAAAAGAATTATAAAAAAAAGAGAGGAAACTTTATTTTTCCTTTGAATGTTGTTCAAAACTTTTTTCCTGACAACTTTATTTGGTTGTTTGGTGATTAAAAAATTATTATGCATCGAAACTGAAGACTGTAGCGAAACAGAATGTGGTTCACGGGTCAGTAAATGTATGCTGTTGGGTGCCTGTAATTGTTCAATAACACCGGAACGGATACGAAAAAATAACTGTAGTTGCTGTACCGATTGTATTAAATGTTTGGATAAACAGTATACCCAGTGTTGTAGTTGTGTTGGTAAGATTTATGGCTGAAGACGAAAAAGACAATATCAATCGTTTATTGTTGATTGATAATAAGTAGAAAAGTCAAAATCTTAAAATACAACAATGTTTCTGTATTAGTACAGTAAAATTATTAAGCTTCAACAACTGTAAAAAGATTAAGAAATACAATCTTTTTTTTTTTGCCTTAGTTTTAATTTTACTTTGAACACCTATTTTGTACTTTTTCTGTTTATCTTTTACAGGTTTATGTAATACGGATAAAGAACCACCACGAATGAACAGCTATGTGGATAACCTCGATCAGGACGAAGAGGCGTTAATTGTTTTTGATAAAGTGGCTCTGTAATTATAGTTCAATCTAACTTCTTACTTTCACTTCTCCTGTTCAATACTGCTTGAAGATTTGAATTTGAAAAAGAAAAAAAAACAGAGGGATAAAAATTATTGGCAGCTTTATTTCAGTGTCAATAAAGTTGGAACAACATATTCATTTCCAGTTTTTAAAGAATTTCGAGGAGATATGAAACGAAGTTTGGTGTCTCTTCAGTTGATATTTACTACTAGCTTTTTTTATTCTGTTCCTTTGCATTCATCAATCGTTTATTCATCGATTCAAATCTTACCAATATGCAAATAGAAAGTTTTTTTTTCTTGTCTACAGTGGCTAAGCCCAATTTAGTTGAGGTTTTTAGTGAGAGAAACACAAAGGGTACGTAATGTTCGACCGGATATGAGTTGTACAGTCGTTTACCTGGATAAATGCTTGTCGCACGATCAGTGTAGCCGTCAATGTCTTGTATCGTTTTTTTAAAATACAGATTCTGATTTTTTAATGTCCTTCTTTTTTTTTTTTGCTAAATTATTGTCAGAAATTAGTAAGGAGAAATTAATGATTTTGTGCATAAAACAGATCAGTACTGTTCAATTGGATTAGTCACTAAAAAGATGCTAAAGTAGCTGACGAAGAAATAATGATATTTTACGATGGCAACAGTAAATAATGATGATTTTAAAATGATTGATGATAGTCAGAAGTTTAATATCTACTAAACTACGTGGCAACAAATCTGCTTGCTTCAAATTTTTCCTTTTGCCTGATCACAGATAACTTGACATTTTTTTTTTAGATACTTGGTGCAACGATGTTACGATGGTTTCATACTGGCTGCTGTGAATGTATCGGTCATACGTGTCTACCCTACGGCTCTAACACTCCAAGATGCCGATATTGCAAAGATTTTAATGAAGTTTCACGGCCACATCATGAACTGTAAAAAAAAAAAA